TATGAGAAGAGAAGGCTTTCATGCAGCTGCTTCTGGATTTGGAAGAAAATTTCTAAAGTTTGTTTTAGTAACTAAGGTATGAACTTGGTGATATTATGAATAAAATGCCAAAGAAAGATTCTGCAAATTAAATATTGCCATTAAAAAGAGGTGGGAAAGGTGCTGAGCTCAGTTCCCACTTCCTCCATGAAGCCTTGGCTGACCAGCAGTGGGAATTTTTTCTTCCCACTAAGGATCTTGCGTTCAGATTGGTGGTAAGGATAAATAGTATAAACTCAAATGAATAAAAATTAAAAATTTCTCTTTTCTTTAAATTTTAGTTTAAGTTCTGAGATGCATGTGTAGGATGTGCAGATTTGTTACATAGGTAAATGTGTGCCCAAAACATGGCTCTTAAAATTTGTTTAGAAATTGGAATTTGCCTTACTATTTAGGTCTCAAAGGAGTAAGGTCTGTGATGTCCAGAGAATCAGGTCTCTCAGGCTGTGCTCTTACAATTTAGTAGGTCTCTGATTAAATGATTAGGTCTCTCAGGCTCTGCTCTGAAGTAAATGCCAACTAAATCTCTTTAGAATTATTTCAAATATCCAAACAATTCTCTACTAGTGACATAAATATCGGCATCAATTTCTTTGTAAACATATTCTCCTATGATTGAGAAGATAGAGTTTAATTGTGGAATCTACTTTAAAAACTATTGTCAGGCAACCAACTGGCCTCTCAAACTTTTATCAGGAAAATTCAGGTGAGAAAAAATTTAAATCTATTTTTGCTAGAAATATTAATCACCTGAAACATTTCTTTCTCTAAGTTATTTAGAGTTTTTTTCTTAAAACTCCAATTTTTCAATGTTTTAATATCTTTAAATTTTTTTAAATCTAAAGTCTATTGTATAAGCTTCAGACAAATGATTATCATTCATTTATATCATTTCTGAATTCGATAGGAGCCTAAATTTATACTGAGAAATAAAAGCACACTTTTATAGTAATAACAGAATACATTAATGAAGACTTTGAAACTTATTTAAATTATGTAATTTGTCATATTACTTATAAACATGATGAAATGAATTATTAACCTGTACAAGGAAATAGTGTTTAAAATTTTTGTGTTGGGCATTCCTATGTATTAAACAAATTATATAAGTAAGGATTATAATTTCAAATGAGTCTTTCAAACCCCAATATAACTTTGGGGGCTGTTCTAGTTTCTTTGTGATTCTTAGAAAAATAAAATAACAATGTGAAACTTATTTCTGCCTGACCAATAAACAACTGGATGAACTGAAGGAAATTTTATATTATATAACTTCAAGGTGCCAAGGGCAAGGCAGTTAATGAAAAAATTTATTTAAATTATATGTTTCAAATATTATTTTTAAAATATTGATCTTAAAGGTATATCAGCCAGGTGCAGTGGCTCATGCTTACAATCTCAACACTTTGGGAGGCTGAGGCTGCCGGATTACTTGAGGTCAGGAGTTTGAGACAAGCCTGGCAACATAGTGAAACCCTGTCTCTACTAAAAATACAGAAAAAAAAAAAAATAGCCAGGTATGGTGGCACATGCCTGTAATCCCATACTCGAGAGGCTGAGGCAGGAGAATCACTTGAACCTAGGAGGTAGAGTTTGCAGTGAGCCAAGATTGCACCTCTGCACTCCAGCCTGGGCAACAGAGTGAGACCCTGTTTCAAATAATAAAAAAGATTTTTTAAAAAAGATATATTATCTTCAGATAATCTGAGATTTGAAAGTTAGTAATATTTTTACAGCCAAAAAGAAGAGGTCTTCCTATATCTCTCCAAAACGGTTTTCTTCTGTTCCCAAACTTCAGAGTATAGTTGTGGTCAATGAATATCCAGAAAAATATCTATCTAGAAATATCTAGAAGGGTCAGTTAACCTTTTAAAGCAAGTAGGTAGCAGAAAGTGGGCATTCAATAAATATCAGCACAATTAATAAATGATTCCCAAAGTAACAAAGATAAATGAGGTAGATTGAAGTAAAATGCTCCCCAATAGGTAAGAACTCTTTGTCTATAAGGACATATAAGTAATAAATAATGAAAGTTTTAAAAATATACCAAAATTATAATAAATATGAACACCCTAGAATCTACGAATACAATGAAAACACATGACATTTGAAACAGTAGAAGTTGACACCAAAGATATATTGCTTCTGTAGAGGAGATGACCTTAAGATTGCATTACCAGCTGGGTGCAGTGGCTCACGTCTGTAATCCCAGCACTTTGGGAGGCCAACGCTGACAGATCATGAGGTCAGGAGTTCAAGACCAGCCAGGCCAACATAGTAAAACCCCATCTCTACTAAAAATGTAAAAAATTAGCCAGGCGTGGTGGCAGGTACCTGTAATCCCAGCTACTTGGGAAGCTGAGGCAGGAGAATCGCTTGAACCTGGGAGGTGGAGGTTGCAGTGAGTGGAGAACACGCCACTGCACTCCAACCTGGGCAACAGTGCAAGACTCCGTCTCAAAAAATAATAATAATAAAAACGTTTGCATTACCACATGATATGAACATATGCCTGAATAGTTTGAGATGCATGCAGGATTGCCAGCAAATTATTATTATTTATAACTAGCGATGCCAATACCATGAAAGTGGCGTAGGCAGTTGCTCAATGAATCAATTTGTAATAGTATTCACAGTAGATTTGTAAAGTACAGAAAACATTGGTTGGGTTCCCATGATTATTGTGGACTTAATCACATTATAAAGCACAGCAGACCTAAAAGCATGCCATTTTATTTAATTAATAAAAAAATTCTTTCTTAATTATTGAAGCAATAGCCATTGCAAACAATTAAAAATGGAGGAAGATATAAAGGAGAAAATATAATTGGCTGCTAATTTTTATTGCATAGAAAAAACTAGGAATATTTAGATGTATTTCCATGTCATTTTTTTTTAACTTTCATACATAAGCAGTTATTTGAAAATTGCGATTATTCTGTGTATAAAACTGACTAAATGGTTATACCTCCATTTTTAGCTGTTTTGAATTTTTTATGATTATGAATGAAATTACAGTGGACATCACTTTATGTCAATCTTTGTGGGAGATTTGAATTCTTTATTTCTGGTCAATTCATTATTATTGGTCAAAGGATGTGAATATTTAAGAGTTTCTTTAATTTATTAAAAATTATTTTCCAATAATTGTGTCACTTTTAGATAGCACTATATATTATCATTTCTTTCTAAAAACATCTTGCCATTTTGATAGGCAGAATAAATATAGCCTCATAGCTATTTCAAATTATGTTTCCCTGATTAGTAAGTTAAAACTTTTTAATATGTAAAAAAAAATTATATTTCCTTCAGATTTTTCTGTTCCTGCCATTGATCTATTTTCTAGTGATTATTTGTACTGATTTCTTCCTAAAATACAACTATAGAAACAATATCCTATTTATTTCAATATCCCAGGTTTTTGTTTGATGCTTGATTTTTATTCATGATTTTTGATATATACTTATATAAATAAATTTGTCAACTTTTAACCCTTTTCTTGAATTTTTGATAACATTTAAATTTCATGCACACATGAATAATTTTACATTGTATGCATAAATTGTATTATAAATAACCTGGCTGGTTTCTAGTATAGGCTTTTTTTCTAATTTTCCCTAATGCCTCTGTTTCCTCCCCACTTTAATCCACATTATTTTCCCTCCTCACCCCAGAGGGGTACAAATACCTTAAAAATAGCCTGTTTCCAAAGCAGGTTTTTTTAAGAGTACCCTCCAGTAGTATTTGAGATATTAAATTACTAAGAATATGCAACTGAAAATAGGCATTTAATTTTTTATTGTGATAGAAGACACATAACATAAAATTTATCATCTTACCCCTATGTAAAGCATAGTTCAATATAATTAAGTACATTTGCGTTGTTGTATTAATACAGCCATCACCACCACTCACTCTAGAACTTTATTTTTCCAAACTGAAACTCTGTAACCATTAAAAAATAGCTCCCTGTTCCCACTTGCCACTGACAACCACCACTCTATATTCTGTCTATATAAATTTGACTACTCTAGGTACCTGCAAATGGAATCATAGAATATTTATCCTTTTTGATTGGCTTATTTTAATTAGGATTATGTACCTAATCCATGTTGTAACATGTCAGAATTTCATTCCTTTTTAAGATTAATAATATTTCCTCGTATGTATATACCACAATGTATTTATTCATCATCCTTGGACATTTGGGTTGTTTTCATCTTTTGGCTATGGATGAATAATGCTGCTATTAACATTGGCATAAAAAATAGTCTTTTAAACAACATTTTTAACTAGTACATGTATATTCATTGAAATTTTTTGGGAACGTTGATACTAATTGGTGATATTTAAATTATGGATTAGCTTTACTTAACCCACATAGAGAAGTGTTGTTCTCTGGATCTTTCTCTCAAGACCTCAAAAGCTGTCTTTGTGAAGACAATCTGATGTCTTTCTTCTTCAAAATGTGCTTGAAATATTCACAATAACAGAGAAATGGAATCAACCTAAATGCCCATCAACAGTTGACTGAATAAAGAAAATGTAGTACACATATACCATGGAATACTAAGCAGCCATAAAAAAGAATGAGATCATGTCCTTTGTAGTAACATAGCTGGAGCTCAAGGCCATTATCCTAAGCAAACTAATAGAGGAACAGGAAACGATGTATTGCATGTTCTCACTTATAAGTTGGGAGTTAAACACTGAGAACACATGAATAGAAAGAACACAACGTCAACACTGGGGCTTACTTGATGGTGGAGGGTAGAAGGACAGAGAGGACTGAAAACTACTATTAGGTACTACTGAAATGGTTAAAAATGATTTTAAAAGGTACTGGAAATATACTTCATCATTAGTCAAAAAGGTAATACCTTTAGAAAATTTGTTCTCCCCACGAACGGGGTACGCTCCAAAGTCCAGGCAACATGAGGAAGCATTGTAGAAGATGCTCTCCTTCCTTTGAGCTGAAGAGACCTCAACGATTGTGGCATATTCTAAATTAGTGCCTTATTTCTCCACAATTTTTTTTTCAGACAAATCAGGAATGGCTGAAGAAAATCACACTGTGAAAAATGAGTTTATCCTCACAGGATTTACACGTCACCCAGAGCTGAAGACTCTGCTGTTTATGGTGTTCTTTGCCATCTATCTGATCACCATGGTGGGGAATACTGGTTTGATGGCATTGATTTTTACACACCGTCGACTTCACACACCAATGTACATCTTTCTGGGAAACCTGGCTCTTGTGGATTCTTGCTGTGCCTCTGCCGTTACCCCCAAAATGTTACAGAACTTCTTTTCTGACGACAACAGGATTTCCCTCTGTGAATGTGCAGTACAGTTTTATTTTATTTGCGCTGTGGAAACTGCAGACTGCTTTCTTCTGGCAGCAATGGCCTATGACCGCTATGTGGCCATATGCAGCCCACTGCAGTACCACACCATGATGTCCAAGACACTCTGCATTCAGATGACCACAGGGGCCTTCCTAGCTGGAAATCTGCATTCCATGATTCATGTAGGGCTTGTATTTAGGTTAGTTTTCTGTGGATCAAATTACATCAACCACTTTTACTGTGATATTCTTCCCTTGTATAGACTCTCCTGTGTTGATCCTTATATCAATGAACTGGTGCTATTCATCTTCTCGGGTTCAATTCAAGTCTTTACCATAGGTAGTGTCTTAATATCTTACGTCTACATTCTTCTTACTATCTTCAGAATGAAATCCAAAGAGGGAAGAGCCAAAGCCTTTTCTACCTGTGCATCCCACTTTTTGTCAGTTTCATTATTCTACGGATCTCTTTTCTTCATGTACATTAGACCAAATTTGCTTGAAGAAGGGGCTAGAGATATACCAGCTGCAATTTTATTTACAATAGTAGTTCCCTTACTAAATCCTTTCATTTATAGCCTGAGAAATAAGGAAGTAATAAGTGTCTTAAAAAAAATCTGATGAAGAAATAATCTCAGGAAAGCTGGAAACAAATGACCTCTACTATAGCTTAATGATTTCAATGCAAAAACTTCCATGTGAAATTACACAGAGGAATGCACAAATTGTAAGTAAAATTTTAGTAAAAAGTAAAAAAAAAATTAATATATAATAATACATTCAAATTAAGTGGCAGTAGGTAAGGTTAGAATATAGGTAAGGGAAGATAGAGCTTATCTAAAATAATTGTTTTTGTCTTTTCACTATTGCAAAATCTGAAGTTGGGATTATGGGTAGAGTAATGACAAAAAAGAGTAAACTGGTAAATCTTAATTTGAAATGACAAAAATGAAACACTAATTTTGAACTCATTCAAGTAACAACGTAGTATGTTGTCGAGCTTTTGGTCTGTGTTGGCATCAGTGATGATCAGCATCCAAAAGAACAAAGCAAAACTGGAAGTTACAAAGTCAAAGGACCATTCCATTAAGCATTGGTAACCAGGTAAGCTAGTTTAGTAGCTTAGAGCATGAGATTATGGTTAAACTGAAAGGGTTTAAGGTCATATGGTGGTCAACCAATAAAATCACATACATCCATGAGCAACAAAGTTGTGGCAAGTGAATTTTGAGAGATCAATTTTAATAGCATTATGGGGACGTGATAGTAGCATTGTTAAACTGTAGGTAGAGCATATCTAAAATATTTTTTTTTCTTTTCACTTTTGCCAAACCTGAAGTTGGGATTGTGGGTAGAGTGATGGCCTTAATGTGATTATCACTTAAAAAATTACTTTCCAATTATTCACTTGACATTTATGTATTAAAATCCTGCTATAAGTAGGCATTGTTCTGGGTATTGGGCCATATCAGTTACCAAAAAATGCCAGTTTTTCCATCTTCTTAAAGAATAGAATATTGCAACAATTTTTTTTACTAACTTCTGGATTAAGAAGGACCTATGTCACATAATAGAAAAAAATCTCCCTTCCACGTCTTGTTCTGAGGGCCTGTCTAAATTCCCAGAAAGCAATTGTCAGGTGCTCCAGGTTAGCCAGCCACGAGGGGCTGGCATCACAAGAAAAATCAATATGCTGAGTCTGTACAGAAAAAGTATTAGGAGAGGAGATGCATTTCCAATTCCCTAACTCATCAATGCGAAAATATAAACACCTAGTTTTTCTTTGTAACCTCCAAGAAAATCTAACCTAGTTCATTTTAATTATACTCCTGCATGTGAAGATCTCTTTGTTTCAAATTAAATTCCATCAGTTTAGGATTTACCCCACACTATCTATATCCTTCCTTCGTCGTATGTAAATGTAAAAGTCCTTGCCTGATATCATGGCCCTGAGCACAGGTGCCAGGTCATATATAAGCTCTGTCCAAGCTGTGATTCTGTGAGATGGTTGAACCTATTTCACCCTCTGGTTATTTCTTTACACCACCATCACTTCAGGTATCTACATCCATGCCTAATCCTCAGGCTACATTGATTTTCAGCTAAAATGTCTATTTATCCAATCCACAAGGCTTTAGGTCTGCTGGCTCTGCCTCTCTTACTCTTCCTTCACTAATTTTTGAGTAAATTATTTTGACCTCTTCCCCTGGGGTCCAGGAAATGTCAAAATGAATCATTTTTGCATTTCTGATGCTATGCAATACCGGTACAATGTAGGATTTTGAAAGCTTACATGGGTCCCTCTTGAAGGTCCCTTTTGCACATAGGTCACCAAACCTCCCTTGGCAATTGTCATCCCACTCCTATGCCAGGACACCCCCTGGGGGAAATCACCCCCTGGGAATTTCCCCTTTCCATGGAAAACTAACTCTTCCCTTCTGATGTTCCCTTTTTTCCCAATTCACTGAATCCTTAATTCTAGTGTGATACTTAGCTCTCACATCACTACAAATGTTTCCCAAATGTACTTTCACGGAATAAAATTGGACTCAAAAATGAGATTCTGTCTTAATCTATTCTCTCTGTCTGGCATATCAAAGGTATGCTCAGAAATAAAAACTGAGTGAGGGTAACGCTCTTGTTAGGTTCTGGCCTCCTCTTAAATTAATAAATGTGAACTGTCCTGGCTGCTGTCTGAAATGGCAGGCATAGTCATTGGGTAAGACAGAATTACAGGAAGGCTTTATCTGACAGTTACTGGTTATGGGGTAAAAATATCTGATAAAATTAATATTTTTTAATCAACTTATTTTATAGTAAGCAGAGAAAAAGACATGTTTAAAATGTTATTTTGAAAAATAAAATTGAAAATTATGAAAATAAATATTTTATCTCATCCTTAACCAAAGTTTAGTTATAACCACAAATGTGTACTTAATTTTAAATTTTTTAAAAAAAGAATAAATCAAATATCAAGGGTTTTCCTTGGTATTATTTCCAGAAAATTTAAGTATGAAAATTTAAAATAACTTTTATTTAACATTTTAATTTCAAGAAATGATAGTAATAATAATAATAATAGACTGATTTTTAAAAAAACAGTCAGTGATGCCACAGGGGCATTACTTCTTTATTGTCCAAATTTTTCTCTTTTGAATTTGTTGATTTTATTTTATTTGTTCTTTTTTTCCCATTTTAACTGTTTTATGTCTCAGACCCTATTTGTCAATAGGGCTTTACATTTCATTCAAGTGGCTATCCAACACAATTTTCATCAACTTCGTGAAATCAATCACAACTTTCTCAAGACCATTTCACACTAAAGTTCAAGAATGTCTGCTATATCAGAAAATTAGCAGATGAGATACTGGAACAACGGCTGAATATAGACACTAGATTGAAGCACGGAGAAATGGTTAAGGGTAAAGTAATTCTAGAGATGATTAGTTCACTTAGGAATATTTGTGTTCTGACAATTCTTACTTGCCTAAACAGTATTGTCACTTCAGGAAGTGGCATATTGAATGACATGATAACATGAATCTCCTTGTTGACTCATCAGTTAATGTCATAATTTTACCCCTCTATGTATACAAAGATTAACATTTGGGCTAATTTGTAGTTATTTCTATTTTATTTCAATAAGCTTTGGGGGAACAGGTGGTATTTGATCATATTGATAAGTTCTTTAGTTGTGATTTCTGAGATTTTGGTGCACCTATCACTGGAGCAGTGTATCATGTACCCGGTGTATAGTCTTTTACCCTTCACTCCCTTCCCACCCTTTCACCTAAGTACCTTAAGTTCATTGTATCATTCTTATGCCTTTGCATCCTCATACCTTAGTTCCCACTTATAAGCTAGAACATACGATGTTTGGCTTTTCATTCCTGAGTTACTTCACTTAGAATAATGGTCTCCAACTCCATTGGGTTTGTTGTGAATGCCATTAATTTTTTCCTTTTCATGGCTGGTAGTATTCAATGGTATATATTTTCCTTATCTATTTGTTGATTGATGGGCAGTTGGGCTAGTTCCATATTTTTGCAATTGTGAATTGTGCCACTATAAACATGTGTGCAAGTGTCTTTTTCATATAATCACTTCTTTTCCTCTGGGTGTATACACAGTAGTGGGATTGCTGGATCAAATGGTAGATTTACTTTTAGTTTATTAAGGAATCTCCATACTGTTTTCCATAGTGGTTGTACTAGTTTACAATCCCACCAGCAGTGCAAACTGTTCCCTTTTTACCATATCCATGCCAACATCTATTATTTTTTTATTTTTAAATTATGACTATTCTTGCAGGAGTAAGGTGGTATCCCAATGCGGTTTTAATTTGCATTTCCCTGATAATTAGTGATGTTCAGCATTTTTTTCATATGTTTATTGGCCATTTTTATATCTTCTTTTGAGAATTACCTATTCTGGTCCTTAGCCCACTTTTTGATGGGATTATTTGTTTTTTTCTTGCTGATTTATTTTTAGTTCTTTGTAGATTTTGGACATTAGTCCTTTGTTGGATGCAAAGTTGTGAAAATTTTCTCCCACTCTGTGACTTGTCTGTTTAGGGTGCTGATTATTTCTTCTGCTGTGCAAAAGATTTTTAGTTTAATTAAGTCCCGTCTATTTATCTTTGTTTTCATTGCATTTGCTTCTGGGTTCTTGGTCATAAAGTCTTTTCCTAAGCCAACATCTAGAAGGATTTTTTGATGTTATCTTCTAGAATTGAAATTTTATAGTTTCAGGTATTGGATTTAAGTCTTTGATGCATCTTGACTTGATTTTTGTATCAAGTAAGAGATGAAGATCCAGTTTCAATCTTCTACATGTGGCTTGCAAATTAACCCAGCACCATTTGTTGAATTTCTCCACTTTATGTTTTTCTTTGCTTTGTCAAAGATCACTTGGTTGTAATTTTTTAGCTTTATTTTTGGTTCTTCATTTTGTACCATTTGCCTATGTGCTTGTTTTTATACCAGTACCATTCTGTTTTGGTGAGTAGAGACTTATATTATAGTTTGAAGTCAGGTAATGCGATTCCTCCAGGTTTATTCATTTTGCTTAGTCTTGCTTTGGCCATGCGGGTGCTTTCTTGGCTCCATATGAATTTAGCATTGTTTTTACTAGTTTTGCAAAGAACAACGGTGGTATTTTGATGGGAATTGCACTGAATTTGTAGATTGCCTTTGGCAGTACGGTTCTTTTCACAATATTGATTCTACCCATCCATGAGCATGGGATGTGTTTCCATTTGTTTGTGTTATCTATGATTTCTTTCAGTAGTGCTTTGCAGTTTTCCTTGTAGAGGCCTTTCACCTCCTTGGTTAGGTATATTCCTAAGTGTTTTTTTTTTTAAGCTATTGTAAAAAGGTTGAGTTCTTGATTTGAGTCTCACCTTGTCACTGTTAGCATATATCAGTGCTACTGATTTGTATACATTAATTTTGTATCCTGAAACATTACTGAATTCCTTTATCAGATCTAGCTACTTTTTGAAGGAGTCTTTAAGTGTTTCTAGGTATATGATCACATCATCAGTGAACAGCAACAGGTTTGACTTCCTCTTTACTGATTTGGATGTCCTTTGCTTATTTCTCCTATCTGATTGCTCTGGTTAGAACTTCCAGTACTATGTTGAATAGAAGTGGTGAAAGTGGGCAACCTTGTCTTGTTCAAGTTCTCAGAGGAAT